TTTTGTGCCCTGCCTTCCTCACCAATAGAGACCCAAAGCCTTATATATCAACCTTCTCTCCTCCATTTTATCCTCACAACAACCCTGTGAGGTAGGCTAGGCTGGCCCAATATCACCAGCAAGCTTCCAGGGCAGAAAGGGGATTGGAACCCGGGACACCTAGATCTTAGTCTGACACCCTTAACCACGACACCACATTGGCTCTTCTCCTACACGAGCAGATCTCTCGCCATTCGGACAAACAAACCTTTACAGCCTTCTATTTTAATTCTGTCTCTTTATAACCACACAACTTGCTTTTTAAAAAAATGTATTACAGTGTCAGCATCAAATCTGATTTTTGGCTTCTATATTATGCGCCGCTACGAGGTCTATCATTGCCTCCTCCTGGAAATCTGCCTCATCCCAAATTCTTAAGAGTTGGTACAGGAACATATGGGATTATGGATACAGGATACCGATACAAACCTCAAAGACCCTTACTCTGCCTCTCCTAATATAATTTTTGGCAGGGCTATTTTTGGGCAGGAACGCACAGGAACGGAGTTCCGGCTGGCTTCAGAGTTGGCCACGCCCACTACAGCCAAAACCCTTGTGTGCGTGGCTACAGAGAGCGACACACACACCCCAGGCCAGCTAGCCTGGGCGCCCTGCAGCTGTGGGGCACTCAGGCAAGCCAAGGGAAGACAGTTTAAGCTCCCTTCCCTTCAAGGGAAGGCATGGGGGTGTGGCCTAATATGCTAATGAGTTTCTGCTGTTGGGTGTGGCCTAATATGCAAATGAGTTCCTGCTGGGCTTTTTCTACAAAAAAAGCCCTGATTTTTGGTACCCTGTTTTAAATTTTATTGCTCAAAGCAAAGACCTTTCTGATCAGAATCGTGTTATAGATGTTTTACTATGTTAATTTATTGATACTTCATTATTTACTATGATCTCATATGTTTATGACGGTTTATTGCCACTGTATCTGATGTTAAATCTTCAATAAAAAACTAAAAAAAATAATCTGATTTTTTTAAAGCCAAAATGGCCGGTGGGGAGGGCGGGGTATAAATCAAATCAAATAAATAAATAAATCCTCCCTCCTTGTATTTTTTCCCTTCAATTTTTTTGGGAAAAAACCACAACATTATGGGTAGAAATTGGGTCGAATATCGAAAAAGCAAGTTCTGACGTAACAGAAACATAGCAGAGTTTCCGGAGGAGCCGACGGCAGCAGGGCTAGAGAAGGACAGGTTCTGGATCCCCCCCCCCCAAACACACACCCCATCCCTGGCCCCCAGTTTTTGCTTCCTTGAAGCCTGAAGCGTTTCCTCCCACCCTCTCTCCTGTCCCCATTAACGGCACATTATCAAGTCCCTCTCCACACTTCCCTGCAGGGTTCTGGAGGAAGGTTCAAAGGCATTCATTTCGCACCCAGCGGTGTGCCAAGGAGAGATTAAAAAAATCCCTTTCCAAAATTGGCTCATCCAAAAAGCAGTCTGCGTGCGCCTGTGTGACAGGCCTTTGAACGCACGGGTCTGCGTTCGTGTGTGTTTTGGGGGCTACAGGCTCAGGAAAACTGCCAAAGCTGATCAACAACGCTGGAAACACATCTCTGGCAAAGGCACAGCGACAGTGCAGTTGCGAAGTTGGCTGGAAACGTAAAACCTTCGTCCATGGGAGAGCGGACGGAGGTGGAGAAGCCAGGATGAATGCCAATATTTATGGAGGTGTGTTGCGTGGCATTAAGACCATAGCGCAAATGCCCAAATACACCTCCACAGCCTGGCAGAGCCCCTCTGCTGTAAGAGAGCTTTCACTGTGCCACCACACACAGCACAACCATATTTGCATCCATTGGCCCCTTGACTTCTTCATGCCTTACGGGCCTTGATCTGTCCCCATGGGTCACAGTTCGGCACAGGTAGGGAGAAATCTAATGTCCTTCCTGGACACATCTCCTGCCCAGCTTGACTGCATTAGGAAAACCAACAGGGTTTCCCAGCTTCCAGATGAGGCCTAGAGATATCCCAGAATTACAACTATTATTATTATTATTATTATTATTATTATTATTATAATATCCCACTTTCCCCCCTGATCAGGGACTCACAGCTTTTCATGTCTTTGTCTCCTCCAGTTTAGTGTAGTGGTTAAGTGCGCGGGCTCTAATCTGGGAGAACCGGGTTTGATTCCCCACTCCTCCACTTGCACCTGCTGGTGTGACCTTGGGCAAGCCATAGTTCTGATAAGAGCTGTCCTTGAAAAACAGCAGTTTCTGTCAAGAGCTCTCTCAGCCCCACCTACCTCACAGGGTGTCTGTTGCGGGGAGGGGAAGGGAAAGGAGTTTGTAAGCCGCTCTGAGACACCTTTGGGTAGTGAAGGGCGGGGTATAAATCCAATCTCTTCTCTCTTCTTCTTCTCTCTCCTCCATTAATCCTAACAACAACCACCTTGCGACTGTAGGTTACAGGGTTGCCATGTCCCCCGTCTGCCAGTGGGGAATGAGGGGACAGAGTTGCCAAATCCAGGTTGGGAAACTCCTGGAATTTTGGGGGTGGAACCTAGGGAGGGCAGAAACCTCAGTGGGGTACAATGTCACAGAGACCACCACCTGCCCTCCCCCAGGGGAACTGCTCTCTCTAATCTGTTAAATAACCGTAATTCCAGGGGATTCCCCAGGTCCCACCTGGAGGCTGGCATCCCTAGTAGGTTAGTCTGTCACGGGCCTAAGGTCACCCCACAGGCTCCCATGGTTGAGTGTGGGATTTGAACCCGGCCATCCCAAGGTCCCGGTCATTTCTGGTTGCCAGTTTCCAGGTGGAGGCTGGAGATCTCCCAGAATCCCAACCAGTGTTCCCTCTAAGCTCAGTTAGTGTGAGCTAGCTCAGTTTTTTAGCCTCTGGCTCACACATTTTTGTCTCAGCTCAGGAAGGATGGCTTCAGAGCGAACTGATTTATGCAGCAGCCAAATTGCTTGCTCACAACTTTAATGCCAGTAGCTTACAATGTAGAGTTTTTGCTCACGAGATTCCACAGCTTAGAGGGAACATTGATTCCCAACTGATCTCCAGACTACATACATAGCTTATTTATTTATCATTTATTTAAAACATGTATCCTAGTTCTGGAGAAAACGGCTGTTTTGGAAGGTAGACTGCATGCCGTTATACCCCACCGAGGTCCCCCCCCCTTAACCCCACTCACCCAGGCTCACCCTCAAATCCCCAGGTGTTTCTGAACCCGGAGTTGGCAACGGTCCCTCCCGCCCGACTTCCTTCTCCCTCCCGCCCCGTCTCCCCTGCTCTGCTCTCGGCTGCCTCCTCCTTCCTCCGAGGCCGCCGCAGCCTCCCGCCCCCTAATTCTTCTCCGACCGACCGACCGCGAGCCTTCTGGCTCCAAGAAGCCCCTCCGACGCTAACAGGGGCTGACAGCGCTCGCCTTCCCGCCGACTGTATCCTGCGAGCACCGGAGGGGGGGGGGGGCAGAGAGAGATCATCCAAAAAATGGCAACCGCAGCCTCACGCGGAAGGGAGACGCTTGTGGTAGCGCTCAGACGCTTCCCCCCCCACACACACACACACGTCCCCCCCCCCAACATCTCACACACCACCTAGGGCAAAATCTTCTGTGCCACCCTTCACCCCCTTTCATCCATCAGCAACCCAGGCGTTTTCCTCCCTCCTGCCCCAGATCCAGTCAAAAGTCACACACATATCCCAGAGTTGCCCCTCAGACCGGAATATCCGAGGAGATCCGGGGGATTCCTTGAGGTTTCCCTTCTAGGCTTCCCTGCTTCAGACTGGTGAGGCCGAGAGGGCTATCAAATCAATCCCTGGCTGGGAAATACCTGGAGATTTGGGGGCTGGGTGGGGAGAGCGTGGTTTTGGGAGGGGCCCCCGCAGGGTGTAATGCCAGAGAGCCCACCAGTGTTCCCTCTAAGCTGAGCTAGTGTGAGCCAGCTCACAGTTTCTTAGCCTCCGGCTCACACATTTTCGTCTTCGCTCAGGAAGGGAGGGCTCCAGAGCAAACTGATTTATGCAATAGGCAAATCGCTCGCTCACAAATTTCATGCCAGTAGCTCACAAAGCAGAATTTTTGCTCACAAGACTCCACAGCTTAGAGGGAGCATTGGAGCCCACCCCCTCCAAAGGAGAGGTTTGCTCCAGGGGAACTAATCTCCATCTGCTGGAGAGTAGTTGTAATCCCAGGAGGTCCCCAGGCCCCACCTGGAGGCTGGCAGCCAGACTTAATTGGGCGCATGGATTTTCCTTTCTTCCCTTTTTTGTTCCCTTCCAAAATAACATATTGCATGCTCAGGCTCCTATGCTGTTCCCTTCAATCATTCAACATTTATACTGTAAGGTTCATGGGGCAGCGAACAGACAGTTTGGCCTGTGAAATCCAGAAAAACGTCCTCTTCGCTCGATGGGGCTGCAAATACATGTATCCCTCATGTTCACACACACACATATGCATATGTTCCCATGTACCCTTCTGCATAGCCCCCTCCAGCCCTGTAGTATCCCAGTGAACGGCTGCTCAAGCAGACGAACACACATGCACTCAACCTCTCATGAACATTCTCTCCAGATGGATCCATGTACGTCCGCAACCTTGTGTTCTTCTGTACACTCAACACCCAAAGTGTACTAGCAGGGATTCCAATCCCCTCTCCCTCAGCCCAGAAACAAGTTGCAATCCCTCCATTTAACCTACCTTGCAAGCCTCTTGTGCGGGGAGGATGCACACAAAAACAATCGCCAGGCTCAAAAATGCTGTGTGCACAACTCTCGTTTGTGCCTCCATGTACTTCCACACATGCGAGTATATGCGCTCCTCTGCGGGCGTCACACAGAAATGCTCTACCCCCTGCAAGAGGGTCCTTGTGCACATATTATACACACCCTCCCCCTTGATCATTCATACAGCTCTCCTTGTTCACACATTCTCCTTCAGGCTCAGATTAGCATGACCTTAAAAATGCACATATAAATGGCCCCACAATGCACACTCACCCCAAAGCACACGGTGGCCCTGTGGTCTCCTGGTTTCCTTTTGGGCGGCTGCTCAGTTTCCTTAACCGAGCGAAAGAGGTATTGCCTCTAAAAATACCACCCTGAGCTCATGGCATGGCAGCACCGCCCAGTGAGGGCATCTGCTCCTCGTGTTTCACCCCATGAGCTCATCATTTGGCCCCAGATGTGCTGCGTTGGTTAACGGGGGTGGGGTGGGGTGGAGGGATGAGGCACAGCAGAGCGGGAGGCCAAGGGACTTTCCACAGGGCCTGAGCCCAAAGAGGTGGGGCAGGAGGACACTGCCCATGAACTTATTCAGGAGGACAATTTTATAAATTGTTGTTTTAATGGCTATCCAACTTTTAGGCAGTGTTCTTGCATTATTCATCGCATGTCACTTTGCTGTTTTATTGCATTTGTTTAAAAAATTGCTAGCCACCTGGTGTCTCAGAGAGACAGGCGGACTATTAAGTGGAGTAAATATATCAATAAGTCTTTCCAAACCAGCTGATGGGCAAAATGCATGAGCGTGCGTGATTCAGTGCACAAAGGACTGGTGTGCTGTGGTTAAGAGCAGTGACTATGAGCCAGTGGTCACTAGTTTAAATCTCAGCTCAGCCACGGAGATACCGGCTCAGATCACAAATACTGTACAAGACAATGGTTAAGGAAGCTTAACCGTGGTTTGGCATGAGGCCAGCAACTGTGGTTTGTGATCAGACAACCAATCAGAAGTCATGCTTTGAAGTGCATTTGCAAACCTTGGTTTAAGCTAACCGTGGTTTGATAGGACATCAACTGACAAACCAGAGTGTCACTCCATTACCCAAGGCCTCTGCTCTTGGAGATCGGAGTGCTCAGTAGATGGGAAGCAAAAGTGGAATGGCAGCCCTAAACCACGGTTTGTCTGCTCTTTGTCCAGAAACTCCAAACATGGATTGGGTTTTCAACGACTGATAGCACAAACCATGGTTTGGCATGATGCTGGAACTAAGCCAGTTAGAAGCCACTATCTCCGGATGGTATGATCTTTGGTTACTCATAGAAGGTGTGATCTCTGGAATGAACCATAAAGTTTCCGTGCCGGTTTTCGAATCAGATATACAACTGGCCTACTTTACAGGGGTGTTGTAAGGATTGCTGAGATGAAGTGCTTTTTGCTAGGGGAAAAGTCTGTTCTAAACCAGCAGCACACATCTTTTCCCTCTCTGCCGTTCTGCCCCCACCCAGCAGTTTCTTTGTCTCCAGAAGGGCCTCTTCTCCCACCTTGGACGCCAAAGGCCAAACACAGGCT